TTTTTAAGGTTTTGGAGTGTTTAGCCTTACAAAAAGTCGTTCTTGCCCTTGAAATTTAAGATAGTGCACGCCACCCTGTCATTCCTTCTTCTACCTTCTTTTATGTGTGTGATTACCTTAATACCTTCCAATGGATATTCTTTCTTCCTAATCATATAATAATTAGCATTAAAAATTCTCAACTACGGGTATTTCTTTATTTTTTTCTGTCATTTTCCTTATTTTACTTACACAATTCCATAGTTATAAAAAAGTTTGGTTCAACTCTAGTTAATCGTCAACACTAGTATGAATGTGTGTATCTCTATTAATCTTGTATAGTTTATTATTAAAAAATTGAAGGTGATCAAATTTCTAAAGAAATTCCTTTTAAAACTTTAAAAATTAACTACGTTTATAGTTAAAAAAATTTTTACTAGTGCATTCTTTACTACTAAGCTAATTTCTTAGGACTTTATACTATTGTTGTTTTATCTGCGACTAATGCATGTTACATTTTGACTTTTGAGAATTCATTATCTGCTATCCCATTTTCATCAAATTATTAATTACAAGTGCCGTATGGTGCACCATAATTCTAATTTTTTTAATATATTATCCAGACATTATTATAATAGTGATCGAGATGATACGTTTATTGAGTCTTTTATGCATAGGCAAGAAGTTGAGAGTTACAGAATATTAATATATAATAATTAAGAAATTAGATTTGCACCTTTCAAAACGAGTGACCGGCTTGACCAAAAATGGGACGATAATGATTTATTTATAGTCTGGTAACCACCAATATTCCGACAAAATTGTTGTGCATGATTGAGTTGATATGGATGGTAAGCCATCCTCATCACCAGCATATATATATGGGTAGCAAAGCACGTGATTCACTTTGTCAAAAAACTTTGTGATTTATGATCAACATCAAGCACTAAGTCCTTTGCCCCATTGTGAGGACACTACTTTACTGTGCATTCTATATCGACTCTAAACTAAGCTAGTAAGTAAAAAAAATTAGGAAATATTTTTTTCCTTTCTATTTCTGTGTAAAAAAGGGGGATTTTATGGAAAAATGCATTGCATGGGGCATATGCAAGGCATACACATGCTACATGAGTATAGTCTAGTTCTTGAGGCCCACATGTATTATTGGATGTGTTGGTGACATACCTAAGAGAAGTTTATAATTAAGCGGTTCTCAATGGGAAGATATATATCAACTATACGCGGAATTGAGTTGTGTAAAGTGTAAACTATGATATAATTATGAAATGTTGTAAATGTGGGATTAATTGTTGATTGGCCCAACTCAAGTTGGGATGAGTCTGATCACACACAGTTGAAGTGAAGGATGTTGATGAAGAGAATGAGAGATGACAAGTTAGCTTTTCGAGATGTTGGGATACTTGGCGAGATGGTTGATTAGCACTTTGAGTATCTGGGCAGTTTGAGAGCGACTAGGTTACCTGCAAAGGCACTCTGATACTTAAGTTAGTTCAGAATTTAAGGATGTTCAAATATTCAAAAGAGATATCATACATGGGCTACATATCTCTGTATTTATAGTATTGAGCGCCTTGTTTCATATCGCCTTTCATAGGACGGTGTTCACTTTCATTGATGGAGAGGGGTGGCCTCTTTCAGGCTATTCTTGATGGGCAAGCCTATTCAGTAGATACGGTGGCAAGCAAGAGTTGACTTTCATTCATTGGGTTCAGGTGGTGGCCAACTTGTCTAAGTTGCTATCTTGGCAATGATGATTCCTTTCAGGTTAAGTCGCGTTAGCTTGCTAGTCAAGTAAGCAAGATCTCACGCTTTCTACGCGGGATGAGTTGCCTTTGTGCCCAAGTCACAGGGGGTCTTTAGACCCTTTGGGCCTTTTTTGGAGATCGGGCTTTTATCTCGCATGTAGTATGTCTAGATCAATTGCGCTTAAAAAAAGTTAGAATATTTAAAAAATGATGTATAATATTAAGATTATATATTAAAATAATTTAAAATATATTAGGGAATTTCTTGGAAAATTTTGGTAAACAAGATTTCTTAAAATTAAATTATAATTTTTTATATTTATAACTTATTTTTTATTTTAGAATCCCGTATATTAATATGAATAGGGATTAGTTTTTTTGTCTTTTGAATCACATTAGATCATGTAATTGTAAAATATTATTCAATCTTTATTTCTTTTTCTCGCTCTATATTAAAATTCTAACATCAACATTGGAAAAATATTTTTGATTTCCCCATATGTATAACAAAACTCTTTTTGTTATCTAATATGAGCTGAGTGTTACATCATTTAAACATGCGATTACACTACTATAATTTGTGCTTCACCTGAACATGCTTGCAGATTGCTGTTACGCAGGCAAAATAATGATCAGCCCCATTAGGTTTCTGAGCAGAACGTGATTGTGTCGTTAGCTATAGTGACAATGCATGAGACAGCGCACAAATATTATTAATTCTTTTCTTAGAAGTTAAAGTGTACCTTTGGTTACATGTGAATGAATCAAATGCACCAAGAATTGTTGGCATATATGTCTATGGTGGGTAAAAAAGTGCATCTCCAAGTGTAGAGGAATGACATGACTAAGTGTCAATTAGAACCGAGCTAGTTAATCGTGGCACAAATCAAATAACATAATTGGACATTTGAGACACAAAATGGTTAGAGGAATTGTCATTATCGAGCACAAAAACTGCTCTTAATTAGTGACATGTGCAAACAATGTTATATCTTAATTAATTAATTAATTAATTAATCTATCAATCTTTTCTAAACCACATAGTACATTGTATATAATTGCATTGTTGGATATATATTGTTTCATCATTTTGTTAGGTATGTTGGTTGTTGAAATGTAATTGTACTATGCCATTGCATTGCGGTGTCAAATTATTTCCATCTTTTGATCCCTTTAAAGTAACACTTGGGCCTTTTGGCCACATGGGGTGACACGTGCCATACTTCAATTGTCTCTCTCATGGATGTTAAGCTTGTATAATTATAATTTTTTCTAGAGTCAAGTTGCAGATTTTCTAGCTAGCTGGGGTGTAGTAATGGTATTACTATAGCCAATTTTACTTAGAAAGTGGAATATTTTTTTTTATTGCTACTAACCACAATGTTGTTGACTGGCAGTGACATAACAATTCTTTGCGACGTGAACCTTTATGGCTTTATGGAAAAGGCAGATCTGTGTTTTGAGGTTTGAAAATCAAAATTCTGAAGGACCCCATATAATGAATATGATATAATAGATTAATTACACCTATACGATGAAGAACTAGCTTGACAAACGTCAGTAATATGAAACAATAGATTATTAATTCATTAATTAGCTAATGAATTGTATCATTAATCAATGTAAAATTAATGCATACCAAACAGTATGCAAATAACATTTTCATTAATTTTTTTTTTCCAATTGGTACGGAAGAAAGAAAACAAGAGATACGTAAGTTTAAGAAAGAGACTTGAAGCTTATTCTCTAATAAACTAAGTCCAAGAGAAGTTAGAAGAAGTTGAATCCCAGATTCCCTAATAATCTTAGCGATTCGATCCAATTTTAGCTAAAGCACCAACACTTACGTTCCTAACAGCATGTGCCATAAAGAACTTGCCAACATATTGCACAATAGCTAAATATCCATAATGATGCTATGAAAAGCATATGCAATACAATAGTACTCTTGCATAAAACTACATCCATCTATTGTACTCCATTTTGTGACTTGTATAGTATAATGCATATGTCAAATGATTCATGATAAATAACATGTTGCTTTGCTTTGAAAATATTTAACTATTAACTACAATCATGATAATAAATACAAAGATTTATAAGACGGTGTAATACATCTATTTTAATTGGGTTTAAGTTTTCTTATGTTGTAGGATTGTAGGAGATAAAAAAAGTAGAGAGAAATTAAATGTGGGTCCCATATTTTATATTTAAAAAAAAAAGAAAAATTAATTGACACGGAAAACAAATTAGTGTAGGAAAATGATGTACTCTTATGTAGCATAAGAGTATTATTTCCCATTTTAATTAAGCTAAACCTTGCCCTCCTTACATGTATCTCACTATAGAAATTAAAGCAAAGAGAATAGTAGAATGATAGAAAAGCAAAGCAGTGTGAAGAATAAATAGACCTAAAATACAAGTGTTAGCCCTAGATGATGAAGTGAACATGGGAAATATGAGTAAGGGAAAGACCTGGGGGAGGGGCAAAGGAGGAAAGGCAAAAGGGCAATGATGAGTTAGAATGAGATGGGATCCACTTGATTATCTTTTTATTTGGCTCAGTTTATTTTTGACTTGGGAGTTTGGGTCCCATTCCGGCCACCTCTGTCTTTATGGATTGAATGATAGAGAGCACCGCACGTGGAGTCTGAATCAAGGGACTGTCCATTGTCCAACCACAATCAAATGACACCCTGTTTTATACATTTACTTCATCATTTTTCTATTTCATTTCCTTTTCTTACCCCCTCCAAAATTAATGACAAACAAGAAACAAATTTAAACCCTTTATTCAAAAATTTACAAAGCAATCCTCGCAAAGTTCATATATTCTCGTCTGAGACGATATTGTTTGTATTCATTGATTCTTGATAAATTTTAATATTTTTTTATTTGCCTTTCAAAACTATTTTGTGATACACCCGTTTTTACTTTCTTTTTACATTTTTATTGACTAGGAATTGTCGTTGTATTCTACGACATTCATAAAATAGTTCCATAAAACTTTTTTAAAATTACATATAAAATTCTCTGATTGAGAAAAAGTGCAAAATGAAAATTGAGAGAAATATTTTAAGACAATTGAAAATAAGAAAAGATTCATAAAATGAGAGAAGACTAAATATTGACTTGATACAAAAAATAAAAAAAATAAAGCAAGAGAAAAACCTGTGCTTTTTCAAATTTTACAGAGCCCTTATTATTCCCACTCATTATTTTTGTTGCTTAAAGCTTGCCCTCGTCTCCCTTATCTCTATCTTTCATTCTCTCTCTCTCTCTCTCTCTCTCTCTTTTCAGAGAGAACAACTCAGCTGCAAGCTCCCATCTGAAAGGAATTCCATGTTCCACAAAACACACAAACAGAGAAAAGAGAGACCCACAAGCCCACTAAGCCATACAATTTGAGGGTCACCTAATCTCTCTCTACACAAACACACACACACACAACGGAGATAGAGAAAAGAAAAAAAAAATCTAGTGGCAGTACTACTACTACCACTATAGCTGCTACCAGCTAGAATAGAAAGAAAAGAAAACATTTTTTTTTAAAAAAGAAAAGAAAAGAAAAACCCACCGTTTTTTTTTTTTTTTGGTTAAGAAAAAGTGCTTATAGAGAACCTTCGTTATATGTGATAACACGATCATGGAATTGGAAGCAGATTACCAAAATGGTATCCGAAGTAGACCCAATTTCCCTCTCCAGCTGTTAGAGAAAAAAGACGCTGATGATGTCTCCGAACAACCTTGTTCCACCACCGTACACGACGGCGGCGCCATCACAACAACCACCACCAATTTCAACAACAACAACGACAACCAGGTCATCTCGGCTGAGCAGCCCAAGAAGCCGCCTCCGAAACGCGCCTCCACCAAGGACCGGCACACCAAGGTGGACGGCCGCGGCCGCCGGATCCGCATGCCGGCGGCGTGCGCCGCCAGGGTGTTCCAGCTGACGCGGGAGCTCGGTCACAAGTCCGACGGCGAGACCATCGAGTGGCTCCTCCAGCAGGCGGAGCCAGCCGTCATCGCCGCCACCGGCACCGGCACCATTCCCGCCAACTTCACCTCCCTCAACATCTCACTCCGAAGCTCCGGTTCCACCATGTCGGCGCCGTCGCACTACTTCCGTGGCGGAAGCTACTTAAACCCTAACAACTTCTCCTCCTCCTCAGCCGCCACGCAGATGAGGAACCGCGCCGCCGCTGAGTGGGACAGGAACATGAACATGGCGGCGGTGGAAGATTCTCGTAGCAGGACGATGTTGTTCCCCGGTTCCTCGGAGAACTCTTCTTCAATCTCCGCGATTTTGAATTTTAATAATCCTGTCGGTAACGTGAATGCCATTCTACAAGCGAAGCAGGAGCTCCGGGAAGAACCCGGCTGCGGCGGCGGCGGCGGCGGAGGAGGAGGAGGGCTTGAATTGGTGGCTGCAGATTCTGATGGAAGCTTAGGAAGAAAGAGAAGGGCAGAGCAAGAACTGTCACAGATGGGAAGCTACTTGTTACAATCAAGTACAGGGTCGCTTCCGGCGAGTCATGCTTCCAATACGGCGGCGTTTTGGATGGTGGCGGGTCACGGTAACCAAAATATGAACGGTGGTGGCAATGGCGTTGATCCCATTTGGGCAATTCCTTCTATTGGGAATAGTGGAATGTATAGAAGGGCCATGTCTTCTGCTGGTGGTATTCATTTCATGAATTTTGCTTCTCCAATGCCTCTTATGCCCGGAGGACAATTAGGTTCAGGGATGGTTGGCGGCGGTGGCGGTGGTGCTACTCTTCTAAATGAGAGCAACTTAGGTATGCTTGCTGCCCTTAATGCCTATAGGCAGATTCCGATTCCGGCCAACGGAGTTTCGGAGTCTCCGGCCAGCACCCGGCAACATCACGGAGGAGAAGATGGACATGAAACAACCAGTCAACATTCCTGAAGATCAAATAGTAACAAGTGTATGATCTGATGCTAGCTTCTTAATTTTCTTCTAATTATATTTACTGCATCTAGCTACTGCTATTACTATTAGTGCTACTAATGGTTTCCAAATTATATTTTATATACATATATATTTTATATGTTATGTCCATTTGCAAAACATGCAGGCGCGCAAGTTTGATTGCTTTGATATATTGAGTTCAATATTCGATTTTGGACCTTGTGTGATTTTTTTTTAATGCGGATCATGTTAGGGTTTGAGAAGAAATTAAACATACCTATATTTTAACACTGGTGTTCCACTATATATTTCCTATGCTATAATAAGATCGTGGTTTTATGATCTTGGTTTTGTTGCTTAATTGGCACTGCACTATCACCAATGATGTTTGGTTTAGCATGTATATATATATATATATATATGCACATACTTTGACGTTTTGTTATGGAGTAATTAATTAGTTTAATACTTTAATAAAGAGGCATGCTATAAATATTGGCTCATTAATAAATTAGTCTAGTTTAGAGGAAAGATATGGGTAGGTTTAACAAACTCGTTATAACTATCTATTATTGCTACGGGGAAAAAAAAATTAATAAGGTACGAATTTGATCTTTTACTGCATTGAGTTGAAAAGAAATGCTGCTCTTCTGGTGAGTACTGCAAACACTGTCACATGCATGATGGATCCCTTATTGCTGCAGTTGTGAATTATGTAAGTGTACTATATAGCTTGGGACCAATGTATAGATGATAATAGATGCTTTGGGATGAAAGAGCCCACTCCTGAATCCTTGATCAGTTTCATCAGGCCTTTGAAGTAACTCTTAAACTCAGGTGGTGACCAGTGATACCCCAAGGTTGGCCATTGCCTAAAATTGATATACAGTCACTGGCTGAACCAAAAGCTTCATTCTTTCTCTTTCTCCCATAAGATGAATATTGGCATCATGGCTAGAGTTTATTATATGTAGCTAGTACTTAGCAGGAATAAATGGTAATGATCTTATAGGCTATGAACTCATCACATATCACCCATTTGTACGTACCCTTTGCCTCTATTATTCTGAACTGTTCTTTTCACAAATTAATGAGCTAGCTATATATACCAAAATTAGGTTTTCTGAGATCGCAAAGTGACTCAGTTTCAGCCTCACTATTATTATTTTATTTTGTCAGAATTAAGATGTCAAACCTTTAGATAGCTTCTTTTTAGTTTGCTAATGATATTTGCACGTCAAAAATTTTACATCATTCTTGCATTTGCTCCTTTTAAGATAATAAAAGATGAGAAAAATACGCATTACTATACACACTCTGTCTATGATCTCTTTATTTTCCCAATAATTAGGTAAAGTGTAAAAATGATATAAGAAATTTGATGTGTAAATATATTTTTTGTTTTTTTAGCCTCTTACACATATATAAATGTTCATGTTGGAGTAGTGGACACACATAATTTTAATATTAGACAGCGTGATTTAATTTGCTTTCTATGAATTAAAGGTAGATTAGTATCATCAGTTGGAGAGTGACATTTTGCCATCACATTTGATCAAATGTTGATAATTCAAAAAAAAAAATCTTGGTTAATTGGTAAGCTCTTCCTTTTTCATTACTAGTTAGTTTTTCTTTTTTCTTTTCTCTAAATTGTTAGCATTTTATTGGAGAGCCAGATAAGGAAAAATTAAATAAGAACGGGGTTTAAATTCATTAATTAGATTTAAAATAGTCGTTGAACTTAATTAAACTATACTTTTATCTTTTTTTTGGATAATTAAACTATACTTTTATCAAAAAAAGGTTTGCTCAACCTGTTGGATCAAACTGTATTAATACAAATTCTTGACTTTTGATTCTTGCTAGAAATTTTTTATAATTAGTAAGTCAATAGAAAATATCATTTTAAATCTTTGCTAAAACTTTCCTCTCTTTTTTTAATTAGTTATCTTTTCAATTTGTTACCTTTGGCATGCAAATTTTCTTCATTTTCATCTTATATCAATTACCACATTATTATATAAGGTTCTCATAAATGAATCTTTTAATAACGAAAGACTATGTTGGCATCCAAAATTAATGATGAATATTAAGGAACTTTGTGCATTATATTATGTACAGAGAATTATATGCACTCCCATGCATTGCTAAGCAATGCATGGTGCTATCTTACTTAGGGTAGGTCAGGAGCTAGGTAGGGCAGATTGGGTACCTTTGTTGAGTAAACGATGAGTGTCCACTTAAATAAAAAAAGGTAAGCGATGAGTACTCATGCGCTGAACAGCGTATGATATATCAAACTCATGAGTACTAATTAAAGTAACTGTTCTGCTTATTTATTTATTTATAAAGAGCATCAGACGTTATTTTATCACTTGATATATCACATATGATATATCCATTAGGTAGGTTCCTGCTTTGGAATAGCTAGCAAATGGGGATGAAATTGCTAAGAACCCATGGATTATAAAACAATCGATTAATTAATAGCTTTTTATAATTTTGATTTGGAGAATGTTATTCTAGAATGCATATTCTTATATATGTAAACGATCTCTTAGTTTGAAGTGTGAACAAAGTTGTTAAGATTTAATTTGATTATAATAGCATATAAGGATTAAATTCTTAATATTAATTGACTCAAGTGAAATGTTCTGATCATATATATCATGTTAAGTTAATAGCTAACTTCTTTAGAAATTTAAGTTGTTAGATAAATGCCATGATGAGATATTTGTGCTAAAATTGTGGAGAAAGAACCAGCAACCAGCAAAACTCCTCCTCAGTATAAAATTTGATTTGACATAAAAAATGATGAACTAAAAAGACGTCAAATGTTAGTTTTGTTATCATATCTCTAACAAAATAAATTACAATGGTGAATAATGTGGATTCTTCAACAACAAAAAAAGAAAGACAAAAGACAAAGACAAAGGATATACAATATCATATGTTTAGTTGGATAAAAAGATATTGAAAAGAATGAAAAAGAAAGATATTTATTTAAATTTTAAATAAATCTGTCCCTCTAGGGGTTTGTGTAAGAAAAGAAAAATTCACATCGCATGAAATTAGAACACCAAAGGTTTAGGTTTACTTATTGATATATAATACTTTTGTAAGGTTTCAACAGTTAAAATCTTCCTCTGCAGTACACATCATTCCTTGTTCATAACTATTAATAGATGATAGGACAAGTAGTGAAATGATTGTTTCTACAAAGTATCATGAATGCAGATGGGACATATATAGCCAAACTTATTAATCCTAACTCTCTTCTCATCATGGGCCTATGGATTAGGTCACACTATTATTCCACACTAATTAGTGTGACATATATCCAAGTCCAAACAAAAAGATCACTCAGTTTAATGTTGAATCAATAAAGAATTGGCTAAATAGAAAGAAATATTGAAAACATGGATTGCAAGAAAATACTATTTCACTTTTCTGAATTTTATTAACCAAATAACAATAAGATTCTCCAAGCCTTAAATAGGTAAACAAAATAAAATAAAAATAAAATCAAACGAAATCAAAAGGAATCATTCGCAATAAAAGGAGATAATGCACAATCAACGCCTACTCAAATATATTATAAGAAATAACAAGCCTACTTAAATATAATATAAGAAATAACAAAAAATGTAAATAACTAACAATTATTGAAAATCTCTAAATTATGGAACAAACTATGGAAAAGCCCAAAACTATTGATGCCCATGGCAACATGACGAGTTTTGCTCAGAAGCCTATTTGAAGTTGGCTATCCAAATTTGAGCCTAATCCAATTCAATCAGCTTGGGTGCATCATCCTCCCCTGCTAGGAAAAGATTCGTCCTCGAATCTGCGTGATCTTCATTGATGTCAACTTCTTCAAGTGGCAACTCTTCTGGTACAATATCATTGAATTCCCTAATTAAAGTTAGAACTTGTGAATGCAATTCTTTGATATGCTTGGAATGTTCATCTATATTTGAACTAAACTGCTTTGGAACAAAAAACATTGCGAATTCTAAGGGAGTAAGTAGATAAAACTCATAGATTATCCCAAAAGGACTATTGCCTATAGTTTGGATTAGTGATTGCATCTGTGATCTGTTATAGAAATTTTTTGCCTAATGTAACATCAAGTCTCATTCCCTTGGCGATCTCTAATTAAACTTCAAGCAAAAGATAAATCATTATCTCATGGAGCATGAGGTTGCCATGTTCGTTGTGCCCAAGTTCATAATTATGCTTGCAAACAAAATATTTCTTGAATGAAAGATCATTCCCCATGGCATCTTTGGATAGAACTTCAGCTTTGTCAAAGATATTATAATTTCTAGTAATTAACTTTACACCGAAATCACTATAAATGATTCACTGCAAGAATAAGTGTATTTCGCGGCGGATAAATTATCTTTCTGCGTTGGTTCAAACCGCCTCCAAAATCGTAGTGCAGCGGTTATACAACCGTCGTGAAAATAAGCGTCAGCAGGTAATACACGACGGTTCGAATCAACCGCTGGAATAACCGCAGAGAGGTATACAACGACGGTTTGAAAGGCGGGTATGACCGCTACATACCATTGATCAAGTTTCTCTGCAAGACGTATTTCGCGACGGTTTCAAACCACCTCTAATTTTAAATTATTATTTTTAAATAAATTTTAAATATTAAAATTTTGAAAATCCAAATTATTTTAATTTGAATAGTAGTGATTTATTATTATTTTATTTAAATATTATTTCAAAAAAATTAGTAATTTTAGAAAATTTAAAATTTTTTAATTTGAATAATAGCGATTTATTAATATTTTATTAATATATTTATTATTTTAATTAAATATCATTTCAAAAAAATTAGTAATTTGAAATAAATTTTTATGTATTAAAATTTCGAAAATTCAATTATTTTAATTTGAATAATAGTGATTTATTATAATTTTATTATTATATTTATTATTTTACTAAAATATTATTTCAAAAAATATAGTAATTTTAGAAAATATTAAATAAACTTTTATATATTAAATATTTCAAAAATTATAATTATTTTAATGTAAATAATATTGATGTATTATTATTTTTATAATTTTTCTGGCAAATATTATTTTATTAATTTTATTTTTGAAATTAATTTAATGAAGAATTGTTGATTATCTACATATATAATATTAATATCATACTGAATTTATTCACATATATCTTAGTGTTATTGTTAGCAATTAAACAACAATTTATGTCATCCAAATATAATTAATTAA